GCGAAACAGCGTCCTTCTTAAAATAGGTATTATATGGGAAGAGTGTCGCCGGTATACCCCCCCCCCTGTAGTACGTCTAAAGAGGAATATTTTTGGGGACAGCGTTACAGGAAGGCAGTCTGTTTGACATTCTCTATGTCAAGGTCAAGGCGAGCTCCTCATCCAGGGTGTTAAGATCATCAAGGTAACTTGTAAAAAAGACAAACAACTAATGTCAGTTAACTGTTTGTCTGAAAATTAAATTTGTATAGAATTTTGGCATTCACAAAATGCGTTAAAAAACAAGGAGATTTACGACGTGGAAAAATTGTTGTTATTCTTCTTCTGCTCATTCTTACTTTTATTACTTTTGTTACATAATCATGATAATACGTTAGTTGCTCTCATAATATGTCATGTAGAAATCTTGTCGTTGTTGCTGATGTTATCAATTTGTAACATGTTTCCTGTTTGTATCTGTTGTATATCACAGGACTGAATAATTGTTGTAATATATAAAATAAATAAATAAATTCTGAACTTATTAAAACGGTTAAGGGGACGTCAGATTTATTTACAAAATGAAGAGAGGCGTCTCATGCGTCTAAGGGTGACGTGGGGGGGGGGGGGGGGGACTCAATAATTAATGAGAGAAAGACAATCCATTCCCAGAATTTAAGGTATTTGACCCCCCCCCCCGCCCCGCCCCGCCCGCACACACACACACACACACACACGCACACACACACACACACAGCTTCACCCACCTCGAATTGACACATCTTCCTATTTTTCCCTTTATTTCCACTTTTTCTCTCTTCCGTTTATATCATACAATCAAGTTTATTGGGACAAAAGTTCTTAAACATGTTTTTGTTGAGGCATCATTTTTCATTCGTTTGCCGAAAACGTAGCTCTCATAACTGTGTGAATAAGATTTTAAGAACTTATAAGAACTCCACGACAAACTTTAGACGTCTTGATTATACCTTTCAAATTCGATTCTTGGCTCAGACGCTACTTAGTCTTGGCCAGGGTGACTGTGGACTATCCATCAATCTAATTCAGAGGATATCAGTTTTAACTTTACGCAAACTGTTTCAAGAATCTCCTTTCACGATCTTTCCTTTCTTGATTTCATTATGGTCTGTGAACAAGAAAATAGTGTAACAGTGTTTATGTATCATAATATAAGACAAATATGATGTATTCGGAAAACGATATTAAGTAGTGTCCATAGGTCGGTTTTAAGTCTCTCCACTATAGATCCACTCTAAAACCGTGCAAATTGTTTGGGGAAAAACGAAGTACTCTCTCTCTCTCTCTCTCTCTCTCTCTCTCTCTCTCTCTCTCTGACTGATTAAAGGGACTTGGTAACATTGTTTAGATGAGAGAAAATGGTGCTAAGGTAGTGACTCCAATGCTAGATGTACAATTAAAGATAATCTGAAAGTTTGAGTTAAAAGGGACCATTATTAATGATAACAATTGGGCCCAACTGATCTGATTGATTCTTTAATTCTCTCAACTGTAATCTTACAATTTAATTACATTTTAGGCGAATGTAAATTATCACAAAGCAATGAATTGGCTCTATTTACCATTCCATATATATAAGTATTGAAAGATTTTTAAAAGCCTGTCTTATTTTCAGGAAAGAACGGTTGGGAAAATTCAAAAATGGTTGGGAGAATTTACTATTGATCACTGTTAGAGCCTTAGAGGGTGTTGCACAGTGACGCCTTCAAAGAAAACCATAAATATCTTTGTGGTTTGAGAATTTTCTCAGGATTTTTTGCCTGTTAGAGGGTAAGTACAGTAGAAGGAATATAATAAGTGACATTTCATTCAGAAATTACACAGTTTTTCATCAACCTTCAACAATGTTACCTAGTCACTTAATATAACGTGGAAGAAAAATATCTTTAATTACCGTTCTACATTATGGATGACACACTAGCGTGACACATTGTGTTACCATGGCAATGATGTACAATCAGATGACTATCACAACAAAACGTGTTGATATAGGTAAACGTATTATTTTCTTCTTCTCTCTCTCTCTTCCTCTCTCTCTCTCTCTCTCTCTCTTTAGATCATCAATTTGGCAGGGCCGGTGCGGTTCTAGAAGACTTTTTGGGGAAGGGGTTTGGGAGCTTGGTGTTCTTGTTTTCATTTTCTACAATTGTGGACGGATTTATAGAAATTGAGAGGGGAGGGTGACTCTTGAGCTTGATTACAGACAGTTGATAGCAAAATTAAAAGTCAACTTTATCTTTAACATGTTTCAACGTTATTCCTCTTAATGTGGCAGTGGAAATTTGTCGATTTTACTCAAGACCTACATTGTTTGATTATGTTTATCTTAATATTTTCATGGCTTAAATTCAAACATTTTGTTTTAACTGGAGAAAGTCGAAATCATGCATCAATGAATAGCGATGTGATAGCGATGAACCTACATACTTTGCCATCTTCAATTGCAAGTGCGAAATGCAAAATGTGTTTTGTGTCGGTAGAAAGGAACAAAAATTGAGACCTTTGTTATGTTCCAATTTTTTCAGTTTAACCAGATTTATTACAATAAACCGATGCCAAAAAAAGTTATGTGAGAGACAGTGTAAGGATGTTACATCTTTTGGTTTTGGCAAAGCGCGTGTTAATCTTCCTACGATCATTATCAGCAATTGAAAAGTTCTTGTTATTGTGATTATTGATATGGCAAAGATCCCAGTGGATATAGATGACAAAACCACAGTGAAAGCAGACGTGTGATGGACTGATTTCACTAATGAAAGGATTTCCTGGTTTCAACACATGAAGGTCGATGCAATGCGATGAGATTTTGAGCTGAGAGTTTGGGAGAGGATTTCAGTATTTGACACTTTGAACGTGTAGCAATACACATTGTAAATGAACAGATGATTAGTACTACCATATCGGAGAATAGCGTTGAAGAGAGTCATAGCGCTCGTAATCAGCGCTCGTTATATTCGCGCTTTGTTTCTTTAGCTTCTGTTTATACATGTATTGATCGATTTCGGCTTTCTGTTTCATTCTTGCCTTTACTCTGATGAGTGCAAGTCGAAAATACACATTGTGTATTTTAAAATGTATCACTTTCTCATGTTGTGTAATCTGGTTGTGACTTCTTGACAAAGGTCAGTATATTCACAAGAGCGCCCAGGTTTACGTTGATAAATATTGGGGTTATTCGTTACTCGATTTTCTGATGGTTCTCTTTTCCAAAGTTCATAACTCCCAAACCCAAATTTTCCATAGGCACACGAGGGGTTTCATAATTTCTAGAATAAAGTATATAGGTTTCAATATTCCGGGGTTCCTATGAATATACTCAAACCAATAAAATTAACGGTTATGTGGCGTGGGGGATGAGCCCCTCCCCCCCCCGAAAAAAATAAATTGCGAGGCACATGTAGAAAGTTAATGTAAAATACCCAAAAGCCCCACCCCCTAAGCTCCGCCTATATAGTAATATAAAACCGCTTCTTGTTCTTCTTTTTGTTGTTTATATTTGTATTATTATTGTTATTATTATTGTTATTATTGTAATCATTATTATTCCTCTTCCTCTTCGCCTTCCTCCTCCTTGCCACCTTGATCTCCCACCACTATCTCTCCTCTTTCTGTCTCCTCCCTGTATTCGTCTCATCCATTCGTTCTCGTCATCTTATCAGCTAGCGTGAAAGTGCATTATAGTCCTATAATGAGCTTGGAAAGAGGTGGATTTTGTTTCTAAACTAAGCCAGACAAGCGGCCGACGAAAGTTTCGTTACCATGGGAACGTCGCAAAGCTTATTAGGCACATAACCTTCCATAAATATGGGGGAAATACTTGAATTTTTCTTTAATTAGTCTGTTAATGAGTGATGCGTGGTGGTTGAGTTGAAAGTTAGGGGACGAACGGGACATCGTGGACCCAATATAGCAGGTTGCCTTCGAGGGAAGGAAAAACCTCGTTAAAGGCGATATCCGTCCGCCAGTATCTTGACTGAAAATCTGAGGATTTGTATTTTTACATTCATGTAAACCAAGTGTAATTCGAGAAGTTTCACGGCCTGTCATTGCTTATGTAAGAGTTCTGTGGTGAGCCTAGTAATATGAGCTCACAAGGCATACATCTTTCGAGAACACTTTCAAGGAAACAAAACTATATATACAACACATGAAATTTTATACAGTGAATCCAAAAATATACTTAACTAACAGTACCCTGATGCCTAGTTTTGAGAATGAATGATCGTGCAACATTCTTAACTCGGTGGTCTGTTTTCCACGTTTCAAATTAAACTTTGTTTATTTCTGTCCACATGTATTTTCTTTTTGAACCTCAGTAAGATGAATTCATCTTATTAGTTTCAATCGTCGAACTGTACGGTCGTATTATTGACTGTAATCCTGTACGATTGACATGATAGAGATACATGGGAAATACACAATTTAAAAATATAACAACTAAGTGTGTGTATTCGGTTTTAACAGACGTGTATCAATCAGATATGATTATTTACGTCTGGGGACCGACCTTTAAACGTCACCATCCGAAAGACGTGATTCAGCTTCGAACCTGCGTCCTCGGCTGAATCAATTTGTAACTTCCACTTATAGCTGGATTACAGGCGCACGCCACAACGCCTAGTTAGACTTTATAACAACTGAACTTGTAATTCTAAGTATATATAGAGGCAGAGCCGTCATTGTCATTTGGATCCTGCTTGAACAATGTCAATACTCAGTTTTATCATTGTTAAGTTAAAAGGTTAAAACAAACCTACGATGTGTTTCTTTCTTCTTGTGCAGTCGATGGTGAGTTTCAGCCTGAGAAGGATCGTTATCATCTCTACGTCTCATTGGCCTGTCCATTCGCTCACCGTACTATCATCACAAGGAAGATGAAAGGACTAGAAGACGCCATCGGAATGACCATTGTAGACTACCTACGAGATGAGAATGGATGGGCATTTACTGATCAGGTATCATTACAAGCTTGGTGGCTCAGGGGTTAGAGGAGTATATAGAGTAAGGGTTCGAAACTATGTCGATGGCTGATCATACCATCATTACCAGGAAGATGAAAGGACTGGAAGACGCCATCGGAATGACCATTGTAGACTACCTACGCGATGAGAATGGATGGGCATTCACTGATCAGGTATCATTAAAAAAGCATGGTGGCTTAGGGGTTAGAGGAGTAGTGTAAGGGTTCAAAACTATGTTGGTGGGTCACAGTGCTATCATTATTAGGAAGATGAAAGGACTAGACGATGCCATCGGAATGACCATTGTAGACTACCTACGAGATGAGAATGGATGGGCTTTCACTGACCAGGTATCATTAAAGGGCCCATGACATCGAAATACAAGTGTATTCCTGTTGGTGTGCAGTCCTGCATATATCTCACATTTTTATATGTAAACTTCTGAATTTGTTTCATAGACTTTTAAATATTTTTTTAATATTGTTTTCTTCAAACTTGCTAAGCTCCACCCAAAAAACCTCCAGATCTCATTCCCCTTGAGACATCATCTGTCAGTCATCAATGAGCTAACTTGAGAAAGTGGTATGTATCTTTGCCGAAGTCGACCACCTGTTACAATACGTAATGCAATAGCAACATACAAGTTGCTATGCCAGACATGCTGTAGCACCACCAGGAAGACAAAGGCAATGATGATGTCTTGTACGTGTGTTAAGCTGGGGGAAATTACATACTATTTTCTATTCTAGAATATTAGTTTAGTCTGACATGTCTGACATAGCAACTTATATGTTGCTATTGTTTGTGGTATTGTAACAGGTGGTCAACTTTGGCAAAGTTACATGCCACTATCTCAAGTTAGCTCATTGATGACTGACAGGGGCCCGTTCCTAGAAACCGTCATAAGTCTAACTTCTTGACTATACCATTGAAACGCACGTTAATTCTATAACACACGTTTCAATGGGATAGTCAAGCAGTTAGACTTATGACGGTTTCTAGGAACGGGCCCCAAGTGATGTCACAAGGGGAATGAGATCTGGAGTTTTGGAGTAGGAGCTTAGTAAGTTTGAAAAACAAATATTTCAAAAAAATATTAAAAAATCTATGAAACAAATTCAGAAGTTAACATATCAAAATATGAGATGTATGCAGGACTGCACACCAACAGGAATACAATTGTATGTCGATGTCATGGGCCCTTTAAAAGGATGGTACTGTATTTCAGAGGATCAGTGGCGTATCCATAAAAATAGAGGTGCAGAAACATCCAGGGTTATTCAATACATGTAGCTATGCCTTCCGAACCCACACTACACACTCGGCAGGTCCTAGGTTCGAAACCAAATCAATGAACTAATGACTTCAAAATTACCAAACACACCGGATAAGAGTTAAAGTCCCTCGTTAAAGTCCCCTGGCAATTAAAATCTAAGCATGATTTTTAATTTTTTACTATAGAGGGAAAATTGACAGAAAAATTGACGGAAACTGTAGCGTCTGCCTTGGAAAGACGTAGAAATCTGCATTGTCATTAGCATCCCCTTTTTATATTTAAACAAACAAGGGGGACAAGGACTGAGCTTTAGACTAATGATAGTTGTTTCAAACCAGTCCCAGAGAAAATCAGAAGTAAAAATACAAGTTGTACAATTCGCTGAAATTTTGTCAACAGAGTTTAATTTGGCAATGTTTTCAATTAGGATAAGAGAACGAAAGATTTCAATCGCAGACAGACATTCACAAGTTGTGCTGTTCTCTCTCCCCCTCTCTCTCTCTCTCTCTCTCTCCATTTTCTTCTGTTTACAACAACGACAAAATGTTTTCAATGATTTGAGTATCCTAATATTTTGATTGAAATGTACGTTAAAAATAAAAATAAAACTATCATTAAATGCTGGAACAAAAAGGTATTATCAGAGTTGTAAAATGTTTTTTCCTTTTTATTTCCCTTTGTTTTCCATACCTTCGTTTGGCCATGATTACGCATTGGTTTCTGCAGTTCACTCGGAAACCAATGACGCTATATATCTTAGCATGGTTTCCTAGAAACTGCTAAATGATACCTTTAATCATATTAAGGGAAATATATGGGATCCATTTCGTTTTAATAACTTGCACCCAACGAGGGTCCTGAGTACATACTGACACCCTGGAACATAGGGCATGTTGTGTCATGTCACGCACAATTCCACTTTGAGTCATTGCCTCTTTGGCGGTAAAAACTGTGGGAGAGAGAGAGAGCAGAGAGAGAGAGAGAGAGAGAGAGAGAGAGAGAGAGAGAGAGAGAGGGGGGAATAGAGAGAGAGGGAAAGAGAGGCAAGAGAGAGAGGGGAAAGAGAGAGAGAGAGAGAGAGGGGAAGAGGGAGATAGAGGAGGAGGAGAAAGGAAGGGGAAGAGAGAAAAAGATAGAGAGAAAGGGAGAGAGAGGGGAGAGAGAAAGAGGGTGAGAGAGGGAAGAGAGAGAGAGAGAGAGAGAGAGAGAGAGAGAGAGAGAGAGTGAGGAGAGAGAGAGAGAGAGAGAGAGAGAGAGAGACTAGTAAATGGTACAACTGAATGAAGGAAAAACGCATTGACATGAACATGATGAACTAGGAGAAAATGTTCTGTTGCAGCAGGAAATATTAAGAAGATGTAATTTTAAGGAGCAGGAGGAGGAGGAGCCAGAGAAGTGGAATAAGAAGAGGGAGAAGAGGTAAAAGTATAAGGAAAAGAAGAAAAAAGAAGAAAAAGAAGAAGAAGGAAAAGAGGAGGAGTTGGAGGAGGAAGGAGAAAAAAAAGTAAAGAAGATGCGAAGATACGTGACATGATTATGTGCTGAGGCCTTACTTATCATTATTATATTTATCAAACGGAATCTAAGTATTCCCATTGCTTCTTCGAGATAGGCTTTTCCACTAAATGACTGTTCGTTTGTTTATATTAACTATGAATATAACGGACAAAGAAAGTGGACAAAATATACAGTTCCTCAGATAGACAAAGGAACATCCCTTCACTGCTATTATGTAAAAAGGTGAATATGCATGTGACACCTGTTCTACACATTTTTACATAATAGCAGTGAAGGGATGTTCCTTTGTCTACCTGAGGAACTGTATATTTTGTCCGCTCTCTTTGTCAGTCATATTCATAGTGATTGTTTATCCTTTGTTCTATATGTCCACATTTTGCTCAGCGACCCAAGACATCCCTGGACACTGTCAATAACTGCAAGTATCTAAGGGAAATCTACATGATGGTAGAGCCGGGTAAGACATGCCTTTAATACCTTCAAAAGAATGATGAACGATACAAAGCAATTTGGATGTTCAATAGCAAACATACATTGACTAGTATAATTTAATAGAAATGAAATTTAGACGCAGCTGTTCACAATAGTTGTCAATACAAAATTGTCAAAGTAGGCTTATTCTTTTGTGAGTAAATCTCTTACCCCCCCCCCCCCGATGTTCTTACGTAGTTTCTTTGGTTTCGTAATTGTGTGACGCGAACCAAATAATTATCTTGGGCCAAGCGAGAAAAGTAGTGATATAATTCCTGTCGATTTAAGGTATCTGGAATTAAGTAGAAATAGTGAATAATAACAATGTCATTTTCAATCATTTCGATCGAAAAATTGTGGGGGGGGGGGGTTGGAAGCTTTTCGCCTTTTTTACAAGAAAGTGGCCCGTCTGTGTTGTTCACTGCTAAATATAATTTTTTTTTAATATGTTTTTTTTAATTAACATTTATTTCCTTCTCAACAGTACAATATGAAACACATGGTATATATACATGATATATGTAACAATATTTCAGCATAGAGTATACAGTAAATAATTCAGATACGGAAGGAGGCGAAAACCCGGAAAGCATAGCTTGAGTTGGGAACGCCCATAATAAATTAACACAGTTACCAAGAGAACATTATAGATATTATTATTGATATGAAAATTACATTTTATATAACAGAAAGTTGATAGGATAGAATAAACCTAACGATATTCTCCCTTTCCGTTCCAAACGGTTCCGAACCGTGCGTTCTGTACAGGTTACGATGGTCGGGTGACCGTACCAGTCCTATGGGACAAGAAGATCAAGACCATTGTAAACAACGAATCCGCTGAGATCCTACGTATCCTGAATAAACAGTTCAATGCCTTCTCAGCTACAGAGGAGCAGCGAAATCTAGACCTCTCTCCAGATGAGTTGATGGAAACCATTGAGGAAATTAACTCCTGGGTTGCTCAGTGAGTATAGTTGAGTTTATTGGTTGATGAAGTTGCCAAGGTAAAACATTCCCATCCATTTTCTTTCAAAATTAATAAGCGGTTGTGATGAAACCGAAATTGTGCTTAAACTATTCCAAATCGTCCTGCTAAATCTTACCTTGCTGTCACACAGACGAAATCCAATTGATAATCAGGGAGGATTATACATGCTCGTTGAAGTAAGTATGAGAAATGAATAAAACGTAACTAAATGTGGATGGAGTAAGATCGAAAGGGATGGAAGAAATTAACAAACAAAATGAGAGAGAGAGAGAGAGAGAGAGAGAGAGAGGGTGAGAGAGAGAGAGAGGCAAAAGGAAAGTAGCAAGGCTGTGCTAGAGATAGAAAAGACATTATTTGGCATGCTTGTAAAAGAAATGTGATGGATACCTTGCAAACATGACAACAGTAGAGGAAATCTTGCGATGATTTATAATGTATAGAAGAGATGTACAGATTGCGGAAGAGAGGCAGAAAGAAACAAAAATTATAGACATACTTAGAGAGGACATTCAGATAGATAGACCAGAGACGGACAAACAGAAGAGAATGGTGTGTGAGAGAGAGAGAGAGAGAGAGAGAGAGAGAGAGAGAGAGAGAGAGAGAGAAGAAGAAGAAGAAGAAGAAGATAAAGAGAACAACAAAAAACTGGTGAATGTCTGTCTGCGATTGAAGTCATTCATTCTCTTATCCTAATTGAAAACATTGCCAAATTAAACTGTGTTGACAATTCCTGCGCTAATTGGCGAGATTTGATTTGGAAACGGAAGTTATCAATGAATGGACCTAATGAAGCATTTAAATTAATTGCGGTTTGGCTCATCCCATTGTCATACATGTGTACGTTTTAATTTGTTTTCATTGAAAATAGAACGCGCCGTTTGTAGAGATGATAGTAGACGTATAATCTAGAATACCCAAGGTTGTAATTGTTATCCATTGAAAGTCATGAATGACGATTGAGATCATTTCCTGTGAGTGTATAGACAAACCAAACTCGAAAACATGAGGATAAAAAACGTATTGATTAGGAAAATGAACGATATGCATGCGATAATAAAAGGAATGTGTGAGAAAATTTAAAGAAGAAAAATGCAAATATTTGGTAGATTAAGAGAAATAAACAGAGTTTATAAATTGAATAAAACTACTTTGGATGTACAGATTGCAAACATGTGATAATAAAGAGCAATTAAATAATAGGTATTTCAAAAGAGACGCCTTATCGGGATTCCTTCCAATCTTGATCACGTTCCTCGGTCTATATTCTTTTGTCTTGTGCCAATGTACTTCATTCGGGATAAATTTCGTTTTGTTCACTTCGACCTCCGAGTTCTATATAGGGGTGGTGTTGATATAAGGTCTGTCATTTGCCTTGAGCAGGTGTCATAAGGCTTGTTGCCTGATCATATCAAAAATACAAAAATAGTCGCATGGTTGTGTGTTTTGTGTTATTATTATCTAGTCATTACGTGACGAGGGCCTATCGATGTCATTTTAATTTGTTTTCTTTGAATTCATCCCTCTCCTAATGAGGAAATCTTTTTTAAACTAAATATTTAAAACAAGAACTCAGAATCGTTCGGATGACCTCACGTCAACGTTTTGCCAATCCTTTTGCTCTTGATGCGTGTTGATTATTGTTTTTTGTTTTTTTTGGTGTGTTTGTAGCTGAATGATGATGACTTTAATCATTATATGTCCCCATCTGCTCAAAATTGTCCTTTTCGTCCATAATTATGACTTAAGAAAACAACTGAACTTGAATTTTTCCAGAAGTTCGCACTCATTAACATCCTATTTCGCTATTGGCCTTTTCTCGTGAGTTCAAACCGATAATAAAGATTACATTGTTTTCATTGATTTTGTTTAATTGTCATACAGCTTTGTTTCCCCTTTCTGCTACTTTTATTATTATATGTCTCCTCTTTTCCCCTCGCTCACTCTCCTGTCCGCTCTCCTTCTCTCTCTCTCTCCCTCTCTCTCTATTCTTCTTCTTTTCTTTTTTTGCCCGTTTCTTTTTTTCCTCTCTGGATTTCTTTATTTCCCTCCATTCTCTCTGCATTTGTCTCTTTGACTCTCTATGTCTGTCTTCCTCTCTCTCTCTCTCTCTGTTTCTTTCTGTATGTCTGTCTCTTTCTCTCTCTCTCTCTCTCTCTCTCCCTCTCTCTCTCTCTCTTCTTTTTTTTTTTTTTTTGCCTGTTCTTGTTTTTCCTCTCTCGATTTCTTTATTTCCCTCCATTCTGTCTGCATTAAATAATTTTGTCTCTCTGACTCTCTCTGTCTTTCTCTCACTCTCTCTCTGTCGCTCTCTCTCTCTCTCCTTCTCTCTCTCTCTCCCTCTCTCTCTCCCACAGAGACATCAATTTGGGCGTGTACAATGCTGGGTTTGCCACAGCTCAGGAAGCCTATGACGAAGGTGTAGTCAAACTCTTCAAAGCTCTTGACAGGGTAAGTCTGTTGATATCATTCAACATTAGTAGTAGTAGAAGTAGTAGTAGAAGTAGTAGAAGTAGTAGTAGTAGTAGTACTAGTAGTAGCAGTAGTAGTAGTAGTAGTAGTAGTAGTAGTAGTAGTAGTAGTAGTAGGCTAGTAGTAGTAGTATTAGTATTTGAATTTATTGATTCAAAAGAAAATATAACACCAGATAATATAGTAGTAGAAAAAGTAGAAGTAGTATCATTAGAAGTTGTTGTCGTTGTTGTTGTTGTTGTTGTTGTTGTTGTTGAAGCAAGAGAAGGAGCACTCATGGTCGTCGTTTTCGTCGTAAAACGCATATTAAAGGGTTATTCGAATTAAAAGAAAAGTTGAGATATTCACATCTTTCTCTGGAGCCATGATGAAAAAGAAGTGCATGGGCAATATTGATCAAATTGTCATAATGATCATATTGTTTGGAATAATGTAAAAATATATTTGTTACCTGAATATGTTTATGAATTCATATTTACAGGTGGAGGATGTATTGTCCAAGTCTCGTTATCTATGCGGGGATCGTCTAACCGAGGCCGACATCCGTCTCTTCACCACCTTGATACGTTTCGATGTCGTGTACGTTCACCACTTCAAGGTATATGATTAAAGCAAACATCGTATATGTCTCGAATGAAACAAATGAAGTATTTGCGTAGCTACACGGGATAGGGGGATGGGGGGGGGGGGGGGGGGGTCAGGGAGCACTCCTCCCTCTATCGAACAACTGAAAAAGACAAAAGAGAGAAAAATCGAGAAAGGAAGAAAGAAAGATAGACAGAAAGAAAGAAAGAAAAAGAGAAAGAAAGGAAGAAAGAAAGAAAAAATGAGAGAGGCATGAAAGGCGTCAACCTACTTAGACAGATGCCCCCCCCCCCCTCGTGATGTTCATCGATCCCTGCAGCGGTTGAGCCCACGCTACACCACTGCAATAACCCGGAGCCCTAGACGTGCAAAGGGAGTTTAAAGGAATCCGGTAACTTTGTCTCGTATTATGAAACAAAATCCTGGATTTAGCTCATGCTGCACTTATAATTATAAACCTTTAGGTCAGTCAGGAAGCCCATGACTTTCACAAGCCGGTCGCATATCTGATTATATCAAGAATTTATGATTGGAATCACAAATTTAATACTACAGTCTATTGGGGAAAAGAGTGTGGTAAAACCGGTCACTCAAAGATGTTTTTTGTTGTACTTTTTGAGGCATTTCTTGGTCATATTGAAGCGCGATATTTTTTTAGGGCTTCAATATTACACCATATCTCAGACGCTGATAACACGTAGGGCCGTGCATCTCAGATTTAACATTGTTAAAGGATGCCTTTAATGTGAAGCCATACAAGTTGTGGACTACCTTGATTACAGGAGAGGACATAAATAAGAATAGAGTAAGGTCATGTCGATCCGTCTTCAGGGTTGAGGGTAGATACTATATCGGAAGCTTCACTCCATAAGACACGTAGTAAATTAAAGTATGTTGGAGTGACAAGTGCCCCTGCATGCCTCCCCCGGAATTTAGGCCCCCGTCATCTGCAGCCAAAATAAAGATGTATATACGAGTTGATCACCACCATCCAGATCATCGCCTTCACCATCAACATCTTCGTCGTCAAAACCATTGTTATCATCATTATTATCATCATCGTCGTAGTCGTTGTCGTCATCATCGTAATCGTCATCATTATCACTTTCACCATCACCATCACCGTCGTCATGAACATTGTCATCATAATCATCATCATCATCTTCATCTTCACCATCACCATCAGTATCATCATAATCACTAAAATCACTGCCACATTCATCAAAATCATCATCATTGTTTTCATTCACTTATGAGTTATGATGAAGCAAGTACACAACCAACATTACCAAAGGCTGCATGAAAGATTAGGACAATATATAAGGACTGAAGATATGGGGAAGGGTAGAGAGAGAGAGAGAGAGAGACAGAAAGAAAGACAAACCTTTTCCATTATCTCCCATCAGGATAGAAATATATTTTTTTAAGAATAGCATTCGCTTTTCGTCTACTTTCGAATTCATAAAAAAGTACGCTAAATATAATAATTCTCAAATGATATGGTTTCTTTGTAAGTCCATCTGGCATGTTATTGTCGAAGGAGGATGAAACGTGATGCCTGTCCCTATTCCATTTTCGTGTTCTCTACTCCCGAACTACATGCTGTCGTTCGTTACCCGAGTTACTCAAGTATGAAATTCCCCAACGTATGATGATGCAGTCTCGAGTGCCTGCTCAAAATTCATTTTGCAAAGGAAAGGTGATTGTCATTTTAATGATACATATCCCATCTAGCGCCATGCCGTCATGTAAGCTGTGAATTATGAATTAGACACGGGGCAAAAGGGTCAGATGATACGCCTGCTGAGAGCCAGAAGGGAGTTACCTTGGTGTAAAGTATACGGGCTAATGCCCCTCTTGAACTCAGCAGATGGGGACGATAGATGAAACAACCACTTGCCTTGTTGCTCATTATGATGACGTAAGGAATAAAGAAGGAGCAGATCGCGAGGTGTCTGGCCTCCTGATGTGATGCTCCCATGTGACCCATTATAGGAGGATGGAAAGAACCGGGTTGAACCATGATGGAGGCGTCACCTAGGAAACAGATGGTGATGGGATGATGAGGGCGTGGTGGACGTGGTACACTGGTGTCATGAAATTTGGGATGAAGAAAGATGGGTAGGTATAGAAAGAATAAGAATACGAGAAGGAGGAAGAGGAGGAGGAGTGATGCACCAATGAGTCTTTGACAATAACTATGCAGTTGTCTAACACTAATCGAATCCCTTACTTCAATCATGGACCTACTAAGAAGTCCATGCTTCAATATTGGACCCACCCGGCCATACCCTATCCTACTCCGAACCCTAGCCTTTGGTGTATCCTAAAAGATCAGTTGCAACCCAAGCACTGACCAGTACATCATTCTGTGAACATTAATTATTCATGAGAGATATGCCGTAAAGATCATCGACTTTAATTAGTCTTTAGTCTTTATCCATGATATCAGTTTTTATCCTGTCTGAGCCAGAGTGTTATGCCTTAATCTACATTATACATTTATGATACGATTCCTCTGCTTGAGGAAGGTGGGTGTTTAGGCTTCTGTGGAGAAACGAGGGAGTGGCGGGTATGGGAGAATGAAGAGAGAAAATAAAGTGTTTTTCAGTACAAATTATAAAGGACAGAGAAAGTAAAGAGAGAGAGAGAGAGAGAGAGAGAGAGAGAGAGAGAGAGAGAGAGAGTGTGTGAGAGAAGGAGAGGGATATTCATGCACAAACATCCATACATATATTATAGAACGATAGAAAGAGGTGGACAAGGAGAGATGAGTAAGAGATGGAGAGAGAGTGAGAGAGAGAGAGATAGAGAGAGAGAGTGAGAGTAAGAGAGAGAGAGAGAGAGAGAGAGAGAGAGAGAGAGGAGATGGCGGCTGGAAGTAGATAGAAAACAGAGAGGGAGACACATGAGGAATGTAATGTTTGTTTCATTGTTCGCTTCTTATCATTCTTTTACGCAAAAACAGTGTTTTACACTTGAATCTCGAAGTTTTTACGATTTTGAAATAAACTACCTATTCTATTTTGCTACAATGTGAGTGCTTTAGATCTGTTAATAACCTCGATGCATATTCCAGGGGTGTGTCCAAGCTTGTTGAGTTTGATTCCGTCAGTATATTTGAAGTGCACTATTTTTCTCAATATCTTGTTATTTTACTGAATGGAGCAAGGGAAAGGACGAAATCCTCGACTGCTCAAACTGTCGGGCTTTATTCCTGACGACTGCCATAGTATCCAATGTAGGTCTAAATAATCATATCTAAAGGGCGTAGCCACCTTTCAATTTTACTTTTTTTTTTGGAAGGGGGGGGGGGCAGCCAAATAAATTTCACTTCACTTTGGAAATCTTGATTTCTTTGCATGGTCATAATACAGTCATACACACGGACAAAATTACTGACATGAGCCCCCCCCCCCTTAAACAAAAAAAGTATTTATGAAGGGAATCACCGATATTCTCTCCCCCCCCCCCTTCTCCCCCCCCCCCCCCCCACCACCACACACCCCAATACGCTACTGTAGTGATAATGAGTTCCGTTTGATGTTATTTATCAATGATCATATGGATTTTGTTATAGTTAATGGACTTTTAATCTGTTTGTATTTTACTCAGTGCAACAAGAAGCGTATTGTGGACTATCCCAACTTATGGGGCTTCACCCGTGACCTTTACCAGACACCGGGGATTGGAGAAACAGTAGACCAAGAACATATCCAGAAACATTATCAGGTAATTAGTTACACTAGCCGTTTAGGATATATGTTTCATCCATGATGCAATGAGTACTGTGAAGTCAATGATAGTTTGTAATATATCTTTGAAACACTATTCAACTTTTTTTTTTATTGTTCACACCTCTCCATGTCATTTTATTCACTTATAGGTTCGACGTCTATCGTTCAAGATTTATAGCGCTGAATACGTCTGTGATGTCTCTACAAGAGTGAACAATTATTCACCCCGGTCATATCAGTCTATTTTGACATGTAAACTACATGTATATATACCTAGCTAAATTCCTAGCTAACGCATGCACCAATACGTTCCTTAGTTGAAGACCCCCCCCCCCCCCCCCCCCCCCCCGCCCCCTCCGCTCCAAAAATCGAATAATATACATATATATATTTGTAATGAATAAAATCGATACCACTTATACTGCGTTATCTGATAATGTATTACATCGGGGCAGTTCATGCAAGTAAACGAATGTAGAATTTAAAACGAAAAATATTAATCTATAAAAATTCTCAATCAACATCATTTTCTCTTTCTCATTCGTTCGTCGTGTAGATGGTCCACAGGCACATCAATCCTAATGGTATCGTCGCCATCGGACCCGATCTAGACTTCGATTCCCCACACGGCAGGGATGTGAAATTCCAGAAGTAGGAGGGTCCACAAAGTTCTCGAAAACGAGAGCTATAATATTATTACTAATCATACTTATATTGTAATTACTTTCCGCTAGTTAATTTGCTAATCATGAGCTAGATGACCACATTTATGTCAAATTCAATTGGGTACCGAAGTGCTAACATCATATTCGGTCGTCGTCCAGTTTACTGGTTCCAAACAAAAGAGCTTGCGCATGAGGTTTACCTCAAAATCATTCAAGCAACGGGCTAGAGCAGGGCATATTCAGCGTTTGGCGCTGGTGTGATCATCACGCCATTCTTTATGCATCAAACTGTTTGCAACCGACAACAATGATAACTTGGCCAGTATGACGTCACACTTCGGTACTCTAACTAACTCCGTAGTACATGTGATGTAGAAGACAGTAAGATAGAATGAAAGAGGCAAATTATTACTATTCTTACTTCCATGTGATATCACAGGTAGGCAGATAATATATTCATGTCATTGTCGTGCCTTGTTTTATGAAAACGCCAATTTGATGTTAGCTATCAGCTATGCAGGCGCGTAGCCACGGGGGGGGGGGGGGGGGGGGGGCACGGGGGGGCACGTGCCCCCCCTAAAATTTCCAAGATCAGTTGAACTTTTTAGACCCCTTTTTTTTACCTCGATCGATTACATGTATGTGCCCCCCCAAACGTCGAACTCTGGCTACGCGCCTGCAGCTATGTACTATGAATCGAGTTTATCATTCAGCTGCAAGAGGTCTTCAAAACACTTTCAGTCGTATGATTGTTAAGAGCTTAAGATAATGAAGATAATAATGAATGGCGCATGATAAATATGTACAAAAGTAGAAAGTTTGGAATACGATTTGTTTCCTTTTGAATAACATTATGTCGTGTTTCCAGTAAAGATTGTGTCGTTAATCACAATTGTATTTTGTTCTATTGGTCATTGATCCTCATTTGTGTTTGTTTGTTATATTTAGTTCAATACATTTTTCAGCAAGTCCGTATTCAAAAGAAGACAACATTACAAAAAATGATTATACTACTTGGGCAATGGTGTTAAAGATTATTTTTTTTGACTTGCAGCCGGAAAAAAAGGCAAGTTTGTTTAATGGTTCAGTATAGAGTATCATGTATGAACCTCAATATCATGATTTAAAAATATATTGTATACTGCCGGTCGTAAGAATAATTGTCTTCAGCAGAATGCTGAAATAGGCCATCTCCCTCTCGTCAAGTTTAATGTAACAACATACGATACCTTATTTTTTTTGCTCATATAAGCTTTTCCTTTACTTTGGAATCTATGGAAAAGATGTGTATGATATTGTACTGTATATAAATCAAATGAATAATAATGAATAAACTGAACAAAATATGTGTCAAGGCATATCACGGTCCATTTATACCATTTGCACCTTTGGCATGATCTAGGCCCCGTCTTGACTTAGTTGGTCTCGCATCCAAGAAAAGTGGGCATATTATGGACCAAGCTATATGGGACGGTCCATTTATCTATAGCACCATTGGCAATGCCAATAGCACCACTGACATTGCCATTCTGAACCAATCCGGGTTCTAAAGGTGTGCTTCGCGTTGTGGGCAAAGTATGGGTCAAGCTATAATCATGGGCCCAAATTAGGTTTACTTGTAAGTGCCCATCCCTTCAACTTATTCTCACTGATTACTTACCAGTATAAGATATATTCATATATATTGAACTCCTCATTTTTCCTCTTTGTTATTGGAAATGGGGCGTTTTCGTTTTATATTCTAGTCCGCAGTAGATGTATAAGATGAATATGAAGAAAAACAAATATATATACCTATATTATGACACTATTAATCAGATCGTATATGGTAGGAATATCTCTCTATCATTACTGATTTCAACTGTTTACTTGCTATCAAATTTCTTTTTCTGTGTATTCTTCTTCCACAACTTAAAATAAGGAATATTATGTACGCCTTCCAAACTTAAACTGGTACACTTTATTTCTTCTATAGGCGACACTATCTTTACATGAGTTTTGTTCTAGTCTTGAACGCCTCATGAATTGCGAAGCATCTCGGTCTGCTATTCATATTAAACAATGATATTCTGAAATCGTTTAATTCAAATATCTAAATGTAAAATCTCGCACCCAAAGGCTCCATAGCTCTACCATCCACACATCTTTCCGTTGTTGTGATACTCTCCCATTGATCTGAAGATTGATGTTGTGTCTTCATCTGTTATTATTAGCGAGCTTTCGATTTAGGCACCCGACGTCGGCTACTACGAGGTACTGGAGCGTGGAGACGTTGCGCAGCTCACGTCCGTCCCCTTCGCGACAATTTTCACGTCGGTGCTTTCATCGGTCACGTGACCATTTTTTTTAGATCAGGTGATTAGATCAGGTAATAAATTCACGGTGCGCGAAAATCTGATACGAAGAATAACACAAGATAAGGTGATAGAAGGAAGAAACAATGAATAACATAAGGAAAGATAGAAAGAGGAAGTGATAGAATGATAAAAACAAAGCATAACATAAAAGAAGGTGATAGAAGGAAGAAACAAAGAATAACATATAAGGTAAGATAGAAAGTGATAGAATGATAAAAACAAAGAATAACATAAGGAAAGATAGAAGTAGGAAGTGAAAGAATGATACAAACAAAGAATAACATAAGAAAAGGTGATAGAAGGAAGAAACAAAGAATAACATAAGGAAGGACAGAAAGAGAAAGTGATAGAATGATAAAACAAAGAATAACATAAGAGAAGGTGATAGAAGGCAGAAACAAAGAATAACATTAGGAAAGATAGAAAGAAGAAGTGATAGAACGATAAAAACAAAGAATAAAATAAGATTTGCTCCTCCATCCTGTTGGTGGTTTGGAGTTTCCATTGTACCTGTGGATGGCTTATTTTTACTCCTTTTTCTTCATTTTGGGCCCAACGAAATTTTCAGTTTCTGATGCAATGCTATCTCGAGGTTCTTGCTTTTGTACTTGTAATTGTTATAATTCTGAATATTTCTATTACGTGTACTCTGCCTTTTTTTTTTTTTTTTTTTTTCCCCAGATCATCTCAATCGTTTGTAAATATCTTAATTTGTCATTAATTTTGTAACACAGCATTTGTATTTTTTTTGGAAAGTTTGTATATGTTATGATTTGATTTCTTAATAAACACATAAATAAAAAATAAAAAAAGAATAAAATAAGAGAAGGTGATAGAAGGAAGAAACAAAGAATAACATAAGGACAGACAGAAGGAGAAAGTGATAGAATGAAAAAACAAAGAATAACATAAGAAAAGGTGATGAAACTACACTCACGTTGACGTTTTTACGGCGACGGGGATCCATGGAAATTTCCACCGACTCCCGTCGGGAGATTTGGAAGTACACGTGGGCCAAGAAGCTCACGCATGCGCAGTGGATAAATATGACGTCACGAGTAGTAGCTCACGTCGGGTGCCTAGAATCGAAAGCTCGCTAGTGTCTGGCTCTCAAAACTTCAAGTCCAATGTATTAACGTCCGATATATTATTTGGATACTTGCGAATGAATTTCCCTTGATGTTATTCTTAATTGTTACTGAATAAAAACAAACACATTACAGTATTAAGGACGGATCGCCCGGCCAAAAAAAATAAATTAAAAATTATTCTCAGCGGCCCGATTTAAAAATGTTAACCCCCCCCCCCTTGAAAAAATCCTGCGTACGCCACTGATTTCACCCCATGCCATTTTGTGCCCCCCCCCCCCCCCGGTAAGAAATTCCTGGATCCGCCACTGATTATTATATATAAATATTTGTGTTTGTCCAGTCAGCTCCATATTATCAGCCACTCCCAAATGTTTAAAATTCGAATGCATTGTTAATGACCTTATATCATACAACGTGAATTCCTTTTAAGCCAGGTCAGTCCCATAGAAAATGTGGCCACCCTCAATATTTGTACACACTTGCACAGCGCCCTCTTCATATCCATGTTTATGTTCAATGTCCTGCTTGAGCAACGACATGTACATGTATTCAGTTTATATATTTTATCTAGAGCAATATAAGCCTATGCATGAACATGAGAGATAGCTATAGAGAAGGGGGTTATAGGCCTATATACCTGAATTAGAGACAGGAGTAACATTTATTGAATTAAACAGTTGTATAATTAATTTTATTTTAATAATGTGGACAAACGTCTGACTAATACAAAGTTCAAAATAATATGATTCTCGGATCAGTAGAGGTTTCATTGATCAACATAACAATAAGGATACATTTATACAGCGCATTATACTGCCGGTTAAATCTCTTTGCGCTGTACATGGTAATGCAGAATAATTGTATTCCGAAAACTAATTACAACAACAATATAGCCATGCTCATTAAAATACACCAAACTACATATACATTGGAACATACGCAATAAACGAAAAGATAGATACATAACGTAGACTAATTTAAGGCACATTATATTATCTACGTTCAAATTGTCATGCAAACATTCTTTTCACTTTATGTTACAATACATAAATGAGGATGAATATAATTCATCACGTTTAAATTCAAGATAATGGTTTCTAATATATATAGTAAGTTAGTCATGCGTGCAACAAAATAGACCTACATTGTTAAAAGTAACGACGTACGCCATTCTTTATAATATAATCAATATATACAAAATACTTAAGTTTCAGTAAACAATATTTGGCGTTTAAACAATATTTTGCTGATACCGAATGCAATACTTAATATTGATAAATCATGTTAATATAATCAATACAAATACTTATAGTAATACCGCCACAACATCAACATCGTCAACAAGACCACAACAATAACAACAAAATCAACTACTACAACTACTATTACTAGTGTTGAATTGTGCTTTGGAATATTTTCGCAAAATGCGGTAATGTCTCAGTGCGCTATACAATAAACAATAAAAATATTAGTTCCATAAATACAGAAATATATCAAATATATTAAGCTGAATGCCACATGATTTACTCTTAATAATGTTCTTGCATTACATGTAATAGTGTACAATCAGTTGAACTTGTAGAAAAACAGCTGATTGGATATTTAAAATTATTATGCATTTATATGCATTTATACAGCCTCAATTTATAGTTAGTCAGTAATGTATAACTTGCGTTGCAAAGACACTCCTTTGTATAGGCACATACAATTTGGCTACGTTATTTACAAATTATCACCAGACAAAATTACCAACTCAAATATATCAGACAAGATTTTTTTTCCCTTTCAAAATAAAAATCATAAATCATAAGAACCTTTAATATGACACATGCAACAGTTCATACACAAGATATATTGGATAGAACAACTATACAGTATTTTATTTGTGAAATAAAAAGTGGTCTTCATTTGGCCTTTTTGGAAGGTCGATACAGGCCTTAATATACGACTAAATACATTCCTTCATTTCCTATCTGTGGATACAACTTCAAACGGTTTTGCCTATAAATCTTTCGCTTGTAGGAAATCACATGCTTACATCGTCAATATAAGCA